CATGGCGGCCTGAGCTAGAGCAGCCATAGCTGCTTTGGGTTGTCCTTTGGGCATCTGGGCAAGGCCTAGTAGTCCGCCATAGCCCCGGCCTATGAGAGTGAAGAGTGGGAGAGGCGGCCATGGCTATGGTGGACCTCAAGTGATACCTGCAGTAGAAGAGGAACTCGAAAATTGATTCTGGATCAGCCATTCAACATTGTATTATTATTTCTTGTATGAATAAGAGAAGGGGGAGATAAGGAGGAGGAGATTGTTGGGCGAAGAAGAAGAGCCTTGTCATTTGTTTGTGCTGGTGTACATCATCTTCTTCTTCTTTCTTACTTCTTCTTCTTCTTCTAATCCTCTCTCTCCCTCTCTCAAGTTCATTCATTTCTTTCTGCAATTGGACGGCATTGTACTATCTGATGGATGTGTATCTCAAAATTGGCCAGGATCATAACATTGGTATCGGAGCGGGTTCTACTTGGTGGTGAGAGTTGACTTTGCTGCCCTAACCCTAACCTAAGTGGATTGAGGGCACCACTTAGGGTTAGGGTTGGTTGGTTAAGGGAAGTGGGGCAGCGTGGCTAAGGGAAGCTGCCCCCACCTGGTTAGGTCATGTGGGGTCGACATTGAACCTAACCAGGTTGCTTGAGAGTGAGATTAGGGTGGCGAGACATTTCGAGGAGGCTTCATGCGGCAATTTGAGGGAGGCGAAAGTGAGAGGCACTCGCACCTGGAATCTGATTCAAGGGAGACACTTGGCAACTTAAGGGCTGCCCTCAAGTAGGCAAGCTTGAGGAACAGCGGCCACTCATCATCTACGGATTGCAAGTTGCTACGTTGTTCTTCAGCATCGACAGGGGATCCGGCGTTGCACTTGGGTGTTGGAGTCAGACCCTCCTAGGAGATAGGACACTAGTGTAGGGGTAGCGTTAGAGGGGTCAGGAGGATCACATGAGAGGGGGGTGAGTTCTATTCATCTCGGAGCTCAAGGCCACTCAGGTAAGTGCCTTGCACCTACGGGATGCCCATGTGTGTGTGCATGGTATGGTTTGTCCTGCTGGGGTTACTCTGGGTTTCTTTTCCTACTCCTTTGTGGTCTTGATTGTGTGATTGAATGCATGTGATCTACCTACTCACCTGATGGATGGAAAATGAAGTATCTTGATCTAAATGGCGAGTCTTTCTACAGTGCTTTGTCTTTCATCTATGAACGGTTGTAGTCTGTAGGTTCTGCCGGAAGTTGAAATTTCATTTTCCATGAGGGACTCCTCTTGGTTGGGACCTGGTCGTGACCTACGTGGGACCTTTGGAACCCAGTGGGACCGGGCCAAAACAAGAAGAGCCCTTTTGGGTCCAAATCGGTTAGGCATTAGCCCATTGTCTTTTGATTGTGTTACGAAGTTCTTTCTTCTTGGTTAGGACACCCACTGCCGAGGGGATCTCGGCTGAGACGTTTCGCGTGTCTTTTGGTTGCACTGTCCGTGGCTTGACTTGCACCCTGTACACCACTCAATTCTCCATTGTTGCATTTAGTCACTCGTTGTCTGATTTGCTGTACGGTCACGGAGCTGGTCAGACTGGAATCGAGAGGACCTCGTATGCAGTCTGATCAGACTGGGTCGCTGGATCAGGCCTCTCATATGAATTTGTTTGTTGTTCTTTGGTTTGCTACTCTCTAAGTCCAAATGAAATGTCGCTCCGGCTAGGAGTTCTACCTTCTCTTCTCTGAGCTATTCAGTCTGTTTCTCTGAGTTCATTTTCGATGCCCGTGGAGACTCGCAACCAGAAAGAAGAGAGAGAGATGAGAGAGAGAGAAAAGGGAGAGAGGGAAAGTGACCGTTTGGAGTGGGTAAGGACTGGGAAAAGGAGTGTTCGCCCAAGTAAAAAGGGGATTGTACCTCTTGAGAGTCTAATTGATTCTTTTGCTGATTGGCGTCTCTCTGACCCACCTGCCAACACTAACAGTCCGAAAATGGCCCAACTATCCTCAGGACAATAGTGGGCCCTATTAAATGCAGCCAGCGATACGGAGAAACCGTATCTGCAAGCACTCCTAGATAGTGCTATAGAAAAGGAACAGGAAGCGGAGAACGAGAGGAAGGAACAACTGCTGAAAAGTCAGGAGGCCATCTTGGAAATTGTTCCCTCGCTGACCAAAGAGCAGTGTGGGGAACAACTGCAGTCCATACTCACCGCTATCGTCCAAGTTCGGAGGCTTGAAGATCATACCACTCAGATCGCCGACGTCTTCGCAGAATTGAAGACACTTCAGGAGGATCTGACTGATATGACCAGCAAGTACCGCGACTTGATGGTAGAGGTTGCTGCGCTGCGACAGGCCCAAGTAACCAATCCTCTTCCTCTACCCCCTGGTTCCGGAGCTGCGATTGAGACTAATGTTGCCCCTCTTACCGTATCTACTTCTACTGCTTCCCTAAGTGTGATGGCGAACCCCTCGGGACCTGCAACAGGTGCAGATTCCGTTGTTGCCGTAACAAGCAACGAGGCAGGAAATTCTGCAACTGCTGCAGCCCCAAGATCTGAACCAGCAAGTGCTGGTCCCAGCTATGCTGGTCCCCATGTGGACCAGAAGGCGGTGCAAATACCATCTAAGTACGACGACAAAGAAGACATTGAATCATGGATCAACTCCATGAGGGAATACTTCGAGGTGTTGGGGACTCAGCCAGAGACCCAGCCAGTGATCATGGGAATGAATGTCGAGCCGGTTGTACGAGGCTTCCTAGAAGTCCAAGCTACGCGGGCTGGGGTTCCAAAGATCGAACTGACAAGGTGGCTTAAGGTCACCCCGGTTGCCTCCCTCGAGGAGCTCCTCATTGCCCAGTATAAGGATCCACACGCTGCAGCAAGGGCAAGAAGCCAGCTTGACAAAATCAAACGCAGCAAGTGGACGGGCTCCATGAAAAGCCTGCAAACCTATCTCAGCAAGATGTTTGCTACACCTGGTCTTGAACTGACTGACCAATCTTGCTTGGATGTGGTCAAGGGCGCAGTCCCCACCAGTTTTACTAATCGCCTAGGCAGGGACTTCATTGGGTATACTGACTGGTTCACTCTAATGAAGGACATAGTCAGTCTCGAGATGGTAGACCTCGTCACCACAGCAAACAACAAAAAACCCATGGGCGGCAGACGGTTGTGCATGACCTGCCGGAGGATGAAGAGGAGGCCGAAGCAGGTGACCCCACTCTTGGTGACGACCAAGAACAGGAAGTTGATACAACCGGTTCGTCAGCCCATGAGTCTGATGTAAATCAAGAAGAAGAAAAATTTACTGCCTTTAAAAAGACTGCCAATGTAAGGGGACCGAATCGGAATGCAAGGAAGAACTATGTCCAACTTCCCAAGGGAGTCAAGATCCCAGCAAAACCAGAGGATGTGGCCACTAAACCATGGGTCGATCTCCTGATCACTGAAAATGATTGGCGGGGTAGACTCGAGAAGGAGGTATGCCTGCATTGCCAGAAACCGAACCATAAGGTACAGGATTGCTATCGGCTGCAGGGAAACCAGAACCGGGCGTAGAGTCGACTTCAGCATCCTCTACAGCAAGGGAGACTGAATCTAATGCAAATCACCAGTCCTCCCTTGAAGCCCAATCATCTGCTGAAGCCAAGGCTGAAGTGTGTAATGTCTTGTATGTCGAGCCTTGGGAGGAGCCTGGGACGGTCGACTTCCACTACCACTTGGAGCATGGGGCTGAGATGAAACAGCAACGTGCCCGAAGGACAGTGAAGTTGATCTTCTTCAAACTTCTCATAAACCACCACTATCTCCGTGTCTTGATTGACTGTGGCGCTATTGCTAACTTTATGTCACCTCATGGGATACGCAAAGTGGGCTTGGGAATGAAGCAAGTGGCCTTGCAGAACCCTTGCCGAACCCAAGTGGGCAACAAAGAAGTTGTCTCTTCTACGCATGCAGTCAAAGGTGTGCGCACTACCTTTAACAAGGACAAAACTGTCACACACGCGTTGAACTTCTATGTCCTTGACAAGTGCCCCTTCGACGCTGTCCTTGGCTTGGGCTGGCTGCAGTCCCAATGCGAATGGACCAAGTGGAAGGAGTCACTTTTCATGGTCAAAGATGCTCAAGGGAATGAGCTTCCCGCCCTCCTGGTTGAGAAGCACGAGTCCCCAATGACTTTTCTGAATGCTATAAACTTCTACAAGAAATGGCGCAAGCACAAGGAGGAAGAACAGTTGTATGTTGCCTTTGTTCGTCCTACTCATGTGCCATCTTCTTTTGCGGTTAATACCACTACTACTTCATCAAGTGATACTACTCTTAGTATTACTACTAGCACCTCTACTTCTCTACCACCTACTACTCCAAATGATCCCACTTCAGACTCGGTTGCCTCTATTCACGACCTGCGACCTGATCTAGGTGATCCCTTTGCTGATCCTCCATCCCCACCAGTTCTACCGAACATCCAAAACTTACTCGATCGGTTCCCAGAAGTTATGGCTGGGCCACGTGGAGTCCCCACGCGATCGGTCCGACACACCATCGAGTTGGTCGAGGGTGTTGTTCCTTCAAAGGGCTGCGTGTACCGAATGGGACCCGGCGAGTTGGAGGAACTCCGACGACAGATTGACGAAACAATTGACAAAGGGTGGATCAAGCCTAGCGAGTCCGAACTTGGTGCTGCTGTCTTGTTTGTTCCAAAGAAAGGAGGCAAGCTCCGTATGTGTATTGACTATCGCGGTCTAAACCGCATCACAAGAAAGAACGCCTATCCATTACCCCGAATAGATGACTTGCTTGATGCCGCAGGTGGGTGCAAGGTCTTCTCCAAGATCGATCTCAAGTCTGGCTACCACTAGATTGAAGTTGATCATGCAGACCAGCACAAAACTGCGTTCAAAACACGCGATGGGCTTTACGAGTTTACCGTAATGCCCTTCGATCTCACGAACGCACCAGCCACCTTCCAAAGCCTCATGGACAAAGTCCTCCGCGAACAGATTGGCCGAATCGTGGTGGTATACCTCGATGACATACTAATCTTCAACAAATCCATTGAGGAACACCTCAAGCACCTCGAGGAAGTGCTCACTATCCTCAAGAAGATGCAACTCCATCTCAACCTAGAGAAATATGAGTTTGGGAAGGATAGCGTCATCCATCTTGGGCATCGGTTGTCTGCTGCAGGCCTAGAGCCTGAGTCAACCAAGGTTGAAGTCATAAGCAATTGGCCTCAGCCAGTGAACATCCGCGAGATGCGCTCTTTCCTTGGTCTCCCGTCATACTATCGGAAGTTTGTGCCCCGCTTCTCCATTGTTGCGCGTCCATTGTCTCGACTGACAAGTAAGAATGTTCCCTATTTTTGGGACACCGCGTGCACGAACGCCTTTCAAGCGTTGAAAGACGCCTTGGTAAGTTACCCAGTACTCCGCCTTGTAGATCCCAAACTGACATTCGTAGTTACTACGGATGCAAGTCAGTATGGAATCGGCGCAGTGCTGCAGCAAGATGACGGCGATGGCTTGCGGTCGCTCGAATTCTACAGCAAACGCATGCCCAACGTAAAGGTAGCCACTTCCACCTACATGTGCGAGCTCTATGCTCTGCGTATGGCTTTGGACCATTGGAAGTACTATCTTTTGGGACACCACTTCAAAGTGTTCTCAGATCATGAGACTCTGAAGTGAATCAAGGAGCAAACTACCTTGTCCCCTACGTTAATTTGCTGGTTCCATGAAATTGACATCTTTGACTTTGAGTTAAGACACAAAAAGGGTTGTTATAATCGAGAAGTTGACGCATTGTCTCGCCACCCTGAGTACATGACTTGCCTTGTGAAATCCTACGACCTCCGGAAGAAACTGAAGGAGGAGCTCGTAGAGCATTCAACCAAGGATCCGGAACTTAGTCCCATCCTTGAGCGGTTGCGGGCTGATCCTAGTAGTCAGTCTGATTTTCACGAATATGGAGGACTGATTTTCCGTCACTACGGGAACCACGACCGCTTGTGTGTGCCCAACCATGAGCCTCTCCGCACGCACTTTCTGGATTTGGCTTATGGCCGGAGCGGACACTTTGGCATGGCAAAGACGTACGCAAATCTGTTGCGACAGTTTGATTGGCCTGGCATGAAAGGGATTGCTGAAAAGTTTGTGGCTGAGTGTCAAGTCTGTCAACGAATCAAACCATGCAGACAAAAGCCCATGGGGCTACTCACACCCCTTCCCATTCCCGATGGTCCTGGGGAGTCCGTCTCCATCGACTTCACCGACATGGGAAAGGTAAGTAAGAACGGCTACTCACAAGTCATGGTGATTGTTGACCGATTCTCTAAGTTTCTCAATCTGATCCCTTTGTCGCCGCACGCCCCAACATAATTAGTGATTCATGAGTTCCAACAAAAGTACATTCTGCAGTTCGGGACCCCGAAGACTCTCGTAAGCGATCGAGACCCGTGCTTCGTTAGTACTGAATGGAAGGACTTCACGTCTTATCTGGGGATCAGGCTGTGTATGACATCTGGCTGACACCCTGAAGCCAACGGTGTGGCTGAAGAAATCAACCAGACTGTGTTCCAACTTCTCCGCGCCTGGATTATCCCTGATCAGGAAACATGGGACGAAGAGTTGTATTCCGTTATGGGGCTGTACAACAACTCCATCCATTCTGCCACCGGCATGACACCTAGCAGGCTGCATCTCGGTTGGCAGATCCGTAATCCGCTCTCCTACCTATTCCCTGAGCAGCCAGCCGGCTTAACACCCGGCAGGCCTGGCTTCAGGGCCAAGTATGATCGCTTGCTCAAGGTTGCCATTGCAGCCATGACCAAGCGACAACACGCCATGATCCATCACGCGAACAAGAGGCGTCGACCGTCGGACATTCAGGTAGGAAGCTATGTCTGGGTCAAGATGTCTGAATTCTCAGAAGAAGAAGGGGTCTCTCGCAAATTTCTCCCACCCTATTACGGACCATGGGAAGTTTTGGATGTGATTGGCGAAGACCACTTTGGCCCTTCGTCCGTAGTTGATGTGCCAGCCCATCTGCGCACATACCCCGTGTTCCATGCATCGAAATTGTACCTCCACCGTGATGCTAAGACGTTCGACTATCGCGAAGACATGATCGCTCGTGCGATCAAAGGCGGGCATGATATAGACAGAATCAAACAGCACGTAGGGAAGGGACGCAACAGACAGTACCAGGTCCACTTCATGTATCACCCATTAGACGATCTGTACTGGTTTTCCAAACAGGAACTGCTACAAAGTGCATCGCGCGTTGTCAAAGCCTACGAGCGACAAATCCCCACTAACGCTGTACCTAAGATCTCCGCAAGACTCACTGCAACAGAGTACTCTAGGAACCTTTTTGCCTTGCTTGCTTACGATGTGTTTGTTGAGGACTCAAAACGAGTTACTCGCTCGAAGGGACCTCGCTCTTGAGGGGGGAGTAGTGTGATGACCCGTCCAAACATGGACTGAAACACACAGCTGATTTATGAGTTTTGCCCATAGACGGACTGCCCTGTTGAGTTTCCCGCTTGCTACTAAGTTTGTGTGTGCACGCTTGCTGGACTGCATGTCTGTCTGAGTGCTGGTTGGATTGAGTGTGTGTGCGGCAGTGCCTGTCTGAGTGCTGATTGGCTTGAGTGTGTGTGTGGCCGTGCCTGTCTGAGTGCTGGTTGGCTTGAATGTGTGTGTGGCCCTCAAGGGCACTTGCTCATTCATTGGGCCCTCAGGGCCGGTACTTACCTGTGGCCGTGACATTGAGGGATGGCAGCAGGAAAAACACTCAAGTAGCGGGTAGGCCGGTACCGC